TCGAGGCCCGACGAAGGTGGCCTGCAGCTGTTGTTCAGAACGTCGTGTTGTGGGCAGTGGTCGTTGCACCAGGATGCAGTAGTGGCCATCGAACCTTGCAACAGGTACATATAGCGAGGCATAGGATGGGTAGCTATTCAGATGGTTGGGGATGCAACAATTGGTTTACACGTTGGCTGCTCCTATGATGAAGTTGGGGTTCAACGGGTGGTGGTTGTTATTGTTAGCAAGTGGATGGGTGTCAACACATCGGACAGGGCTGGGGACTTGGTTTCTGCCAGCAGGTAGAGATTCGGGTGGTCGCGGCCGGTCAGAACAACAGACGTGTCTTTAGATTTTGTCGCTATGGTTCGGTGGAGTAGCGGGTGCAAGCCTTCCAGGAGCCCTCTGAAGGAGGAGGAACCCACAAAAGATAAAAGTTATGCCAAGCAGGTTTTCCATTCCATGTGCTGGAGACCCATTTTTTTGGCCTTGTTCTGTTTTGGTCCTGGCTCGGCTGGAGTGTACAGTTGGCTTCTTGGCTTCCTGGCTGTCGGGTTTTTGACATTGCCGACTTCTCGGCATCGCGGCCGTTATGGAAACGTTGGCTTCTCGGCTCCTTGGCTTCTTGCCGCTGACTCAGAGTGACGAAGAAAGCGCGGCAAGACCGAAGATGACAGCTCTACGAGCGAAACGAAAGACGAGGGAGAGGGGTCGGCATACAGTAGATAACTTCTGCTCTCGCTGCTTCGGTGGCAAACATCTACCTATTGCGAATTCATTAGTACTATGTTATAGCATAAAACAGTTTTGCAGAAGACATCATAACCTAATGTGAACTCATATAATCCAATGCAGTAAGATTGTACGAGATCGTCTAAAGCTATGCTGTGTTGCAACGATATCATGCTACTCTCGTCTGTGTATATTGTGTTCTAATGTTGTAACATTGACAATTAAGTTGAAAACCGATATCAGGTCTTGTATCGGTTCGATATAGAAGGAAAAGAATGCCCTGCATAACAAGCATGCAAACGATATTCGTATTAACATAGCTCCAATGTTAGCAAGAGCAATAAAACAACAATAACAGTAATAATAACAATACGAATATATCCAATAATCCAATTTGAAATTACAACAGCAAGAATGACAATAATAAGAACAATAACAACGATAATAGTAACGACTCTAAAAAGACCTTGCAAATAGCGGATGTTTTGACATCGTTTAATCTTCAGTACGGAACAGCCCCCAGACGACCGTCATATTTTCACATACTGGAGTATACTTCCTCATGTTTAGCCATATCATGTTGCAAGGTACAGCGTAAGGTCATTCTAAGTCACGTCCTGCAATATGTCATTAGATTACTAGGCGTTATATGGTAACATGGTCTATAAACTCATACAGCCCCCCCCGATGAGGAAGACAGGAAGACCGTGACCTCAAGGCGTTTGTTCGGGTCGACGAGGAAGACGGGGCTCCAAATTAGCTGTGTACCGTGGAAGACAGCCAAATCATAGTAAATCATGGCACGACAATATGCCTTATAAGCAGAAGCAGTCATACACTGCATTCGGTCGTCGTCGTCGTCGTCGTCGCAGTCGTTGTGGTTGAGTTGTTGTCGTCGAAACAGCAGCTGCAGCATATGGGTTGACAGTGCAACCGTTGTGAGTTTGTCGTCGTCGTCGTCGTCGTCGTTGTTGCTGGTGCTGATGATGCTGCTGCCAGCATTGCTGTGTGAAGCATGCTTCCAGTGTTGCATTGACAATCGTTAGCGTCGAGGGTGGGGTGAAGGTGAGTGTTGTGCCGTGGCCGTTTTGGTGTCAAGGGCGACACCCGACTGTTGTAAGGGTGAGATCTGTGACAGGTTGGAAGGCTGCATGGACCTGGTGGTGGTACCTCGCCTTAAGCGGTCCACTGGTTGAGTTTTCGGAGGCTCCTCCTTAGCTTGTGCATTGGTGTCTGGTCTTCGGGTTCTGCTGCGGTCGCCTTTGCCTGTGCTGGGCTGGGACCTCGGCTTGGGCCCCTCCATCGACCGGTGGGTGGGCTTCGATTTCCCGGAGGGTCGTGAACTTCGTCAGGAGCAGGACAAGGCTCTTTTGGGCCTTTGCCCACCTCACGTGCCCGAGGCCCGGCCGAGCCTCCACACGGCACCCAGCGACCCAGATGGGGCGCAAGACACTCGTGCCCAGGCCATGGTCCCTACTTTGCGAGTTCCGGCTCGCGCGAACTGACTTTCAGGCTATCGTCGGTCCTGGGCCCCAATTTCTGGATGCTGAGGTGACTCCTTTGCGAAACACGGACACGCAGCGGGTCTGCCCGAGCCCGGACAGCGATCCCGCAGCAGACCAACTAGCATCGCGGCGTCAGGTGGTGGCGGCGGGGTCTGCTCCACATGCAGGCTTTGCGCTTTTCTGGACGTGTGGCCTGCGCTTCCTTCGCAAGCAGACGTTCACGTCGGTCAAAAAGGGAGGAGGCGGGGCCCCTACCACTTCTGGGGTGTAGGCCCTACGTAGGCTTGGAAAGTGCTCCGGACGGCCCTTTTTTGTGGACGCGGAGAGGCTTCCAGTTGAGGGATAACGCCTGGTGGTTGGTCTGCAGAGCCGAGAACCGCGTCAGGTGCGAGCACATGCGCAGCCGCCACCCCTTGGCACGCCGCCATCAGTCTTTGGTTGTCCCAGCGGCAGTCTGGCTCTGGGAGCCGTGGTGGTGGCCCCTCTTCCGACCGGATGCAGCCCCAACAAGCAGAGCCCTTTTGGAAGGGGAGGGCAACATCTTCGTCCGCAACAGGCGTATGTGAGGGGTACAAGTGCGGGAGCAAGAAACCGCAAGGAGAATGCCGCAACAAGCACTCTCATAAGCAATGTCTGTGCACTTGGCAACCGACTGCCCGAAGGCCTGAGCCTGACCATCCGGGCACCACCCAGTGCTAGCCCGAGGCTCAGCGAACCTGCAAAGGCTTGTGGATAGCAGTGCCAGGTCGAAGGCCGCAGGCTGTGAAGAGGAAGCGTGAACCCAAGGCAGGACCCGGTACATGGTGACGACCGCCCGAAACTTTGGCAAATGCCGCTCATGCACCACCTTCCCCAACTGGACGGAGTTGCGGAGGCCACCTTTGACCAATTTCATAGACGGAGAGGGAGGTGAAGAACATCCCGGCCCTGGGAGGACTCTGCAATCCGCGCCTCACCCTGAGGAAGCTTCCAAACACTCGCCCGTGGGCCGGAGCGTTGCACAATCTCCTTCGAGGACCCGGGCTGAAGCCACGAACCACCCCGACTTCGTGAGCATTGCCGATTGGCTGGACCATGGGCGTGTTGTGGGCATCACCGAGCCATCCCCTACAACGGCGTTCATTTTTTCATTCGGACGCATTAGTCGATGTCGACTATTCAGCGGGCGCTGCATACTCGTACCTGCAGTTGGGTACAAGAATGGCCATGAAGGCACGCCGGACAACTACACACCGCTTCACAAGGCGGCGGCCGACTATTGCGGCCTCGAAAAGAAAGCTACATGCCACGTCCTACTGGGAAACATGCGTAAATAGGACGTGTAAAAAGCGAACGAAAGCAAAAGCCACAGTGCAGGCTTGATCTGTCTACATGCACTTTGAAGCAGGCTGTACACATCGCAAAGTGCAGCAAGCAGGGCCGTCTAACGGCACCCGATGCCAAAGGGCCGACAGTTGGCGCCCCAAACAGCACGTCCCTTCGACTTGTCTGAAAAAAGGCGCCCACGCAGGTTTGAAGGGCCAGACCGTCAAAGGCGGCTGCAACAAGGCTTTCTCGCTCTTACTGACCCAACGCCGCAGCTCTTCTGCCCGTTCTCACCGTTCTCAGAGAAATCGAAAGAAGTGGCCCACCCATGTCTGCGAGGGTAAAGACTTCAAGCAAGAAGTAGCCGCGGCTGAGACTCCACTGACACTCACGTTTTGGGCGTGATAACCACCGCCAGCAGGCGCGTTGGCTCATTGTCCTGCCGACACCTCGCTGTACTGAGTGTTGGCCAAAATGATGGCCGCCAGGGAGACCAGACCATTCGGTAGACTTGCAGTTGCCGGCAGCTCCTGAAGCACTGTGAGTAGAACTGTACACGTCTCCAAGTACAGTTGAATGGGCCGGCAAGCGGCACCCAACACGGAAGGGCCTGCAGGAACAGGGCCGCCTCGCAGCTCCCTAAACCAAAGGGCCGATAGACGGCTCCTGAAGCACTGTGAGCAGAACCATGCACGACCCAAGTGCAGCTTAAGGGGCCGGCAGACGACACCCAACGCGCGAAGGCCTGCAGCAAACAGGGCCGGCCCGCGGCTCCCAAAACTCCAAGGCCATTACAACGGCTCCTGCGGGTGCTGCCAACTGTTGTGCGAGTCAAAGTGTGAAGAAGCCATAGCAAAAATAACCAGATGTGAAATACACGTAGTCTTAAGATTGGATCGCAAATCACCAGTACAGAGAAAGGCCCACGAAGTCCTTCGTGTCTGGGAGGGGCATGCCTAGACTGAGACTGAGGCAGAGCACAAAACCCTGACATCAGCCCCATGTAGAAGCTGTAGTGGACCAAGGGGGCTGCGACCCTGCGCTGAATGCCACCAGCAGATGCCTGGTGCGGCGCGCTGGTCCAGAAGTAGGCCGCCGAAGAGACCGGTTGTCAGTACAGTACTTGTAGTTGCTGGCAACCTTCTGAAAAGTTCTTATTGACAGAGAAGCACCGGTAAGGAGCCGAAAAGCGGCGCTCGAAATTGAAAGCACGTGTACAGGACGTGGCAGCCTGTTGCTATCCTGTGCCCGTGGACTGCTGCTCTCCCCCCCATCGGGGGTGCGGGGCGAACCCTCACGCCAGCCATCACATGGCCCCCAAGCTGTGCACACGTAGTAAAGCTGATGGCCCCCGGACTTGGAACCGGGCCTACCTAACACGTAAACAGGGCAGTAGCTTCCTCGCCAAACTCGTCCGAAAACTGTCTGTCCACAAAGCTGCAATTCCCTCCAACAGGCTCCGAAGCAAAGAGATGTAAACCAACTAAACAGCACAAATGCCGTGCCAAGCACCAGGAGCAAAAGCTCTCCACAGCTGAAG